GGCGGGGGGGGACGGGGGGGGGATGGGGAAGGGTGGGATGGGGACTGGGAGGGACTGGGAGGAACTGGGACAAACTGGAATGGACTGGAATGGACTGGGATAAACTGGGAGGGAACTGGGATGGACTGGTTTGGACTGGGATGGACTGGGATGAACTGGTTTGGACTGGGATGGACTGGGATGGAAGTGGGATGGAACTGGGATGGACTGGGATGGACTGGGATGGACTGGGACAAACTGGGATGGAACTGGGATGGACTGGGATAAACTGGGAGGGAACTGGGATGGACTGGTTTGGACTGGGAGGGACTGGGATGAACTGGGGCAAACTGGTTTAAACTGGGCCAGGACAGGGCCCCAGCTGAGCAGCTCCAACAACAAGAAGAAGAAAAATCCAGCGAGGACACTCCACCAAACTGGTCCAAACTGGTCCAAACTGGTCCAGACCCCTCCAAACCGATCCAAACTGGTTTAAACTGGTCCAAACTGGGCGCTCACCAGACCACCTCGCCCACGTTGGAGGAGATGAGGTAACGGATGAACTGCTTCATGTTGTTGTAGATGGCCCTGCCCTCCTCCACCGCCGCCACGATGGTGGAGAAGTTGTCATCGGCCAGGACCATCTCCGAGGCCGTCTTGGCCACCGCGGTTCCCGAGCCCATGGCGATGCCGATCTCGGCCTTCTTCAGGGCCGGAGCGTCGTTGACGCCGTCGCCGGTCTGAGGGGACATGGAGAAGTTCGTGGGGTTGGTGGTGGGACTTCAAAAGTTGCGTTGGAAGGGTCAAAAATGGGGTTAAATTGGTGGTGGGACTCCGTAACTACGTTAGGAGGTGGTGGTGGAACCTCAAAGTGATGTGGAATTGGTGGTGGGACTCCGTAACTACGTTAGGAGGTGGTGGTGGAACCTCAAAGTGATGTGGAATTGGTGGTGGGACTCCATAACTACGTTAGGAGGTGGTGGTGGAACCTCAAAGTGATGTGGAATTGGTGGTGGGACTCCGTAACTACGTTAGGAGGTGGTGGGAACTCGAAAACCACCTTTGGAAGCATCAGAAATGGGGTTAATTTGGTGGTGGGACTCCAAAACCAGGTCCACCAAGATCTTTTGACCCTCAAACCCACTCAAAGCCATGGTGGACCTCCAAAACCACGTCCACCAAC